CTGGAAGTTGCTCTCCAGCATAGAGGTAAAAGCAAATGAAGAAATGAGAAGGTAATAGAGCTAAATAAAAAAACTTCAAAGGGTAGCATGAGAATACAAAGTCAAGTATTACAACGAAATATGCAAAACCTACAGTTAGAAAATGAGAAGCGAAGAACACTCTTAGCATTTCTCAAGTTGAAAGAACTGAAGAAAAAATTCAAGCCTTAACTTGAAATATTGAAGGATTTTATATTTCATTCTGTTGGTCACTATGAGTCAGTACTGACTCTATGGCACCTAACAATAACAACAACAACAACAGAAAAATGTTGAATGATGCAGAAAGCATCAAAAGAAGATGGAAGGAATATACAGAGACACTATACTAAAAAGAAATGGTTGATGTTCAAGTATTTCAAGAGGTAGCATATGACGAAGAGCCAATGGTACTGAAGGCAGAAGTCCAAGGTGAACTGAGGGCATTGGTAAAGAACAAGGCTCTAGGAATTGATAGAATACAAACTGAAATCTTTCAACAAACTGAAACAGCACTGCAGCTACTTACTCATCTATACCAAGAACTTTGGAAGACAAATACCTGATCAACTGATTGGAAGAGATATGTGCACATACCAAAGAAAGGTGATCCAACAGAATGTGGAAATCATTGGACAATATCATTAATATCACAGTCAAATAAAATTATACTGAAGATAATTCAAAAGAAGCTACAACAGTGCATTGACAGGGAACTGCCCCAGGTTCAAGCTGAATTCAGATGAGGATGGGGAAGGAAGGCTATTATTGCTGCTGTCAGGTGGACCTTGGCTGAAAGCAGAGAATACCAGACAGATGTTTGCTTATGCTTTATTGACTCTGCAAAAGCTTTCAATTGTGTGGATCATGAAAAGCTATGTACAACATTGCAGAGAATGAGTATTCTGAAACACTTAATTGTGCAAATGAGGAACCTGTACACAGACCAAGAGGCAGTTGTTTGAAAAGAAGGGAATACTGAATGGTTTAAAATCAGGAAAGGTGTGAGCCATGGTTGCATTCTTTCACTTATTCAATCTGTATTTTAAGTGAATAATATGAGAAACTAGATTAGATGAAGAAGAATGTGGCATCAGGATTGGAGGGAGACTCATTAACCTGTGATATACAGATGATAAAACCTTGCTTGTTGAAAGCAAAGAGGATTTAAAATACTGATGAAGATCAAAGATCCTACAGACCTTGGTTTGGGTTGCACCTCAGTGTAAAGAAAACAAAAATCCTCACCAGTGAGTCCAGTCTTTATATGGAATAAAATCCATATAAATGGAGAAAAAATTGAAGTTGTCAAAAACTTCATTTTGCATGGATCCAAGTCAACACTCATGGAAGCCTCAGTCAAGAAATCAGATGACTTACTGCACTAGGCAAATCTGTTGTACAAGACCTCTTTAAAGTGTGCAAGAACAAAGATGTCAGGAGGACTAAGGTGCGCCTTGGCATTTTCAATAGGTTAATTTGTATGTGAAAATTGGACAATGAATAAGAGAGACCATAGAATAATTGATGCATTTGAGTTAGGGTGTTAGAGCAGAATATTAAAAGTACCAAGGACTGCCATTGTTGTTGGATTGGAAGAAGTAGAGGCAGAATGCTCTGTAAAAGCAATAATGGTGAAACGTTGTCTCTCATAGTTTAGACATTGATTGTATCAGGAGGGAGCAGTCCCTGGAGAAGGACATCATGCCTGGTAAAGTAGAGGGTCAGTGAACAAAAGGAAGAGCCCCTGTGAGATGGATTGGCACAGGGACTGCAGTAATGGGCTCAAGTGTAACAATGACGGTGAGGATGGTGTCGTGTTTCCTTCTGGGCAGTGTTTGTTTCACTCTGTTGTGCACGATGTCGTTATGAGTTGGAACCGACTCAATGGCACCTAACAAACAGCACTGCCAATGGGATTTTGAGTTGGCAACATGGTACGGTGATTATGGTGGCTGTATGAAAAATTAAATTGGTGAGAATAGCAAATAATTTAAAAAAGAATAACAGTGTCATTGTGGTAGCATGTTAAAATGTATATAGAGTTATAGTAATTAAAGCAGTATAGCACTGTGAAAGAATTGATAGATCAAGGAAATAGAATAGGAACCTATGCTATATACTTACTCCTCACCTATCAACTGTCTTGTTATTTGACAATTCACATTTATGATAATAGTAAAAAAAATCTATTTGACTATTTGGCAATTTATAACGTATGTCTAAGCAACAACAAATACCAAAATGTGAGGTGAGAGTAATGCTTAAGGTGATGTGTCAACATTGATGGTTAAGTGTTGGGAAATGAAAAAGGCCTTTGAGAATATAAAGCAAAATGAAGAACACCATGTTGTTGTTAAGAGCTGTAGAATTCGTTCTGACTCATAGCAACCCTGTATAGGGTTTCCCAGGAGCAGCTGGTGGGTTTGAACTGCTGATCTTGTGGTTAGCACTTCAATGCTTATCCTACAGTGCCACACCAGGAGTTCATTCTACAATACCAAACCAGGCAAAGAGTATGTAAAAATATGCATAAATAGAAAACATTTATATTTGTCTACTTTATGAGTATTGAAATTATAAAAATAATAGAAAACATTTTTTTTTGTCTACTTTGTGAGTATTGAAATTAAGTTATTGAAATGCCAAGGTGCACCTTAGTCCTCCTGACATAAAAATGATTATTTTTGAGTACTTGATGATAATGATACTTTGTATTTTTAATGATCTATGAAGATTAGGTTAACTGTCATCTAGGAATACTAAAAGTACCATGGACTGATAGAAGAGCAAAGATGTGGAGAAGTACAGCCAGAATGCTCCTTAGAAGCCAGAATGGTGAGACTTTTCCTTTCATACTTACTTTGGGCTTGTTATTAGGAAGGATCATGCTTGGTAAACTGGAGGGTTGGCAAAAATGAGGAGGACCCCCAACAAGATGAATCGACAGTGGCAGCAGCAGTGAGCTCGAAGGTAAGAACCATTGCGAGACTGGCAGCTGTGCATAGGGTCACTGTGAGTCAGAACCAACTTCATAGTTCCTGAGGCTATAAATCTTTACTGGAGCAGAAAACTGCTGACCTTGTAGTTAGCAGCCCAACTTGTAACCCATTATACTACCAGGGATCCTAATAACAACAATAATAATATCCCTTCTAGAATTCTGGAGGTACTATAGGATGAGAACTGGACAGCTAATCCCAAGGTCAGCAGTTCAAACCCACCAGCTGCTCCACAGGAGAAAAATAAGGCTGTCTTGTCTTGTAAAAAATTGTTATTGTTGTTTAGTGCCACTGAGTTGGTTCTGACCCATAGCGACTCTGTATAGGGTTTCTGAGGAGCAACTGGTGCGCTTGGACTGCCAACCTTGTGGTGAAAACAGACTTTGCAGTCCAGAGCATTAGCCCACAGTGCCACATCAGGACTCTTTAGAAAGATTTACAGCCTTGGAAAACCTATATAGAGTTGCTATGAGTTGGAATTAATTTGATGGCTGTGGGTTTGGTTTTGGGGTAATATATCTCCCAAGGAGCCCTGGTGGTGCTGTTGGATAAGCTAGCACAGGTGGGCAGTTCAAACCCGACAGCCGCTTTGCAGGAGAAAGATGAGGCTTTCTGCTTCTGTAAAGATTTAGTGTCAGAAACCCTATACAGTGTGGCTGAGTTGGAATAGACTTGAAGACAATGAGTTGTTTTTTTCTTTTGTTTTGTTTTAAATAATAAACCTTACATCCTTTAAATTCTACCATTTCTTCTAGGTTCACTTGCTGATTTTGTATTTGGCTTGTTCAGATTGATTTTAGGCTATAGGACCAAGCTTGTATTCTTACAAGTAGGAACGTGTGATGAATCTGTCTGCTGCAGTGGAAGTTTATAAATGGTGTATTGCAGAGCAACTCATCTTCACAGAGAATGATGATGAACCATTAATGTTCTGCCTACACTTCTCTAAGGTGCCAAGAAAATATTATACATTTGAGGATGCTGGAATCTGCCAAAATGTATTAGTTGTAAACCACAAAAATTATATAAGCTATAAAGACAACAGCAATAAATTGGCTGGAAATAATAGCTCTTTATTGACAATGTCTAGGCAGAGTGAAATAAACTAGCTAAGTGAATGTTTAAGAGCACACTTTTCTGCTCTCAATAATGTATTTTGCAAAGTGTCCTAAGATAATTTGGAGAACACTAAACAACTTTTCTCTGTTTTCTACTTTTGTGCATGGTTGTGCTAAGATTATATTTCCTCATTTGTTGGTTTGTGATTCTGGGTCCTAGAAATTTATTTATTCATTTCATTTCATTTAGTTTAATATCTCTAATATCCCCAACTAGAATAGGAGTTCTTTGCAGGCAACAATTTTATTTTGTATTTCTTCATAAGTATTGAAAAATGTTGTTGTTAAGTGCCGTCGAGTCAGTTCTGACCCACAGTGACCCTGTATAGGGTTTCCAAAGAGACGCTGGTGAGCTTGAACCACCAACCTTGCAGTTCAAATGGCTTTGCAATCTGGTACATTAACCCACAGCACCACCCCAGGACTCCACTGAAAAACATTAGTATTTGCTTATTGGTTAATTATAATCAAAAGAGGGTGTGTGTGTGTGTGTGTGTGTGTATGACAACTTGAGATAAAACCGTTCTGGGACCTTTTCTGTCACAATCTATATGTGACCCTATTTCACTTGTAGCTTTATATGGAAACATTTTCTCAACATTTGTGTAAGGTAACAACTACTACCTTTATGACCTCATTCACATACTTTTCACTGATGGTTTTGCTTTAAACTATCTGAAAATGAAAACATAAATTTGAAGATGTCTATTAGTAGCATGGAGTCCTGGTGTGGCCCTATAGGAGAAGCACTGGATTGTGAAGTGGGTTTGAACTGCCTACCTTGTGGCTCAAACCCACCAGCCACTCCTTGGAAACCCTATACAGGGTCGCTATGAGTAGGAACTGACTCTACTGCACTTACCAACAGCAATCAGTAGCATAAAGTGCCTCCTGGCTAGTCCTGTTTAGGAGTGGTCCAGCACCTTTAACATGATGCATGGGATCTGCTGCTATTAGAACCTGGGGGACACATGGCCAGGCAAAGCAAGAAAGAGGCCTGCTGCTGCCGTGTTTGGCACTTGGAGTCTGTCCAATCAATAGATTAGAAATCTGAAGCCTTGAGTTTTAATTTTTTAAAAGATTTTATGGTTTATTAATACTCTGGTGAAAATTTCACATAATTGTTACAGATCAAATCACAGCAGAATCTTTATTCCTTCTTTTTTCCAGCACCAGTGTTGGCCTTTGCAGTCCCCCTGACTTTCATTCTGATTTTGCATTCCTTGTGCTATTTTCTTGATTTTTTTTTGTTTTTTTTTTCTTTCTCATACAGGCCATGTCAGCATTTGGCTTTATTTATTTATTTTTTCATAATCCAAGGAATCATAAATCATGCTAAAGTCAGTAGTCTTGCCACACCCCTTCCCCAAAATGAGTTCTAAATCCAAACACCAAGATGACATCTAGTGTTGTCTCAGACATTTTGACAAGTTTTCCCCAAATTTCTTAGGTATTGTTGCCTTTCCAGGGTGAAGGCCAACAATGACCATTTGTTTCTGCTGAAGTTGCCGGTTGGTCAGGAACTGGCCCCTGTTTCCAGTCCACCCCCCTTCCCAATCCTTCTGAACTTTGTCTTTAGGTAAATGTTGCTCTTTTGATCTTGAGTGATTGCCCATTCCATGGAGAGCATAACTTACTAATATTGTTGTCCCCCTGTATATACCTATCTGGACTTCTGTTGTGACACTGTAGTATCAGCACAGGTCTGCAAACCGCAAAGTCAGATGATCAAATTCCCAGCTGCTCCTCAGAACCCCTATACAGGTTCACTATGAGTCAGAACTGGCTTGATGGGACTTAGCAACAACAGCAACACTATACTTATCTACATCTTGGCTGAAAATTATGTCACACGGGTGAGTTTTGTTCCAAATCTGAATGATGGCTGAGGATCATAGTCTCAGGTTCCTCCAGTTTCTTTCTGACCAGTGAGTCCAGTCTTTATTATTTTAAGTTTTGTTCCACATTTGGTTTTTCAACTCTATCTAGATCTTATAATGTGGTCCCTTTCAGAGTAGGGCACCATCTAGTTCTTCTGATCTCAGAGTTATGGAAACTGATGTTCATGTGTTCCATAAGTCTAATGGACTAGTTTATTCCAAGTATCTTCAATTTCATTACTCTTCCTTCTTCTGTACATAAAGACACCAATAGAGTTTTTAAGATCCCAGTCACTATTCATCCAAGTAGGAAGTAGAACATTGTCTTTATGAACTATGTTAGGCCATTTGAACTATGAACTATGCTATGCCAGTTTCCTGAGACTATGGTACTGAGTACCCAGGCCTTGCAACTGATTTCCTTAAGGCATAATTGATAATGTCTAAGAAATTTTCATCATTTTGTCCCTGTATGCTCCCATAGTCTTTGGTGTGTTTGCAGCAAAGGTAAATAAATGGCCAATTTTTAAAAAACTTAAATCTCTACGCCTTTATTCCAAGGCACCTCTGAGTGGCCTTGAACCTACATACATTCATTTAGCAGCTGAGCCTGTTAACCATTTGCACCCCACAGGGACTCAGGGACACCAAAGTAGGATTAAAATCATAACCCATAATACTGATTCTTAACATAATCTGTCTTCTCTGAATTTTTCATTACCTGCTGCAGGTTTGAAGTTTCACCCCACCTTACACTTTTAACCAGTATCTCTTTTATACATGATTTAGTCTCCTTTCTGCTTTGTTTTATTTACTGATTTTTAAAAATTCTGCCTTCTCTGATCAATATGCACTGATCAATACACAAACCAGGGCTTGGTTGGCACTCTCATACACTGCTTCTTGGACTCTGGGTGTTAGGGAGGTCAAGTGGCCAAGGGTATTATCTCTCTTCTGTAGGTGGAGGGGAAAATAAGTGGAGAGGAAAGATGACAAAGATCTATAATTTAATATCCTTTCTTTTATTCTGACACACTTACAATGCAAGTTTTGTTTTACAGTTCAAGGGGTCATTTGGCAAACTCTTTTGATTATCATATCATGCATTTCTCTTAGGAATCATGGGCACTCAGCAATTTCAACTACACAATTGTCAAGGTCAGTACAGTGCAATTAGAACTTTAGTGTCTACCAGACCAGAAGGTAAAAGGCTCAAGGAATAGAAAAGGGGGTTAGAGCTAAGATAATGGCCCTCTGGGGGTTGGTCACTAATTGGTTAGAGACAGGATGGGGTTGTGCCAGAGGAAGCCATTTGGATGCATGGCTGGGGCTTTGCACCTGTGCAAAAGAGTGAACTAGCCCTGTTCTAGAGGAGTATAGGCATTCAGGACCTGGTAGGATGGCATAGATGGGCAAGAATGGTGTTCAGTGGCTTTGCCAGTGATGACAGTGAAATTGTGGTTGTGGTTGTTAAGGGCCGATGAGTCGATTCCGACCCATAGTGACCCAGTATAGGGTTTCCACGGAGCAGCTAGTAAGCTTGAATCACTGATCTTGCAGTTCAAACAACTTTGCTGTCTGACGCATTAGCCCACAAGCGCCACGCTAGGAAAACTCAAGAAAGAGAGAAAAAGCCAAGTTGGCTGGGGACAGGGTTATGGGGCAAAGAAGCTAGAGAGGGAGGGGGACTTATATGGGGTGGGTTATTCAGAACTGATTTCATCTTTGGAACTCTGTACTGTTTGAGCTGGCTGTAGCTGGAAGGATCAACACAGAGGTACCAACAATGGGCTCCAATATAGCAATGATTTTCAGGATGGTGTAGGGCTGGCAGTGTTTTATTCTGTTGTAAATAGGGTTGTTATCAGTCTGAAATAACTTGATGGCACCTAACAATAATAACAACAGCAGGAAGCTCTTGAGTGGATAGTTGCCAGGAGTTCCTGGGATTGGGTAGATGGAACAATGAGAAAGGGACTTCATCAATGCTATCTGGCCTATTCTCTTTTGAGTGGAGTCATACTCTGTTGAACCCTGTTTTCTGTTGTTGTTAGGAGCCACTGGTGGATTTGAACTGCAGACCTTGCAGTTCAAATCAACATTGTATTACAGTGCTTATCCTATGGGACTAAACCAGGACTCCCTGTTTTCTATTAGGGTACTAGTCAAAGAACAAGGTTGGAATCAAAGATGTTACAGAAGAGCAAAATGTTGATATAGTCAGGAAGACTATACCAATGCAAAGCTGCTAACATTACCACAGTATTGATGTTCAAACTTGCACATTTATACCTTTTTCGGTCAATCATGACTTTCTAATGAGGACTAAATGGTAGGACTGTACCACATAATCTACAAGAACTTATCAGGAAAACAAGGTCTAGCACAGTGTTTGGCCCTGGTGTGGTGCTGCGGTGCTAGACTGCAAGGTCAGTTTGGACCATAGTGTTAGTGGTTCAAGCTCACCAGCCACCCCTCAGAAACCCTATACGAGGTCCTATGAGTTGAAACTGACTCAATGGCACTTAACAACAACAGCAGGGTCTTAATAAATGGATAACAAATAAAAGGATGTGTTTAGTTAGTTTGTTAGATGAGAACTCATACCACATATTGGTGTGTAGACAGGTGGTAAGGGACACATGACATGGGTTGATGAATAGAGATGCTTAGGTGATTTGCAAATGCCTTGGCTGCCAATGGCCTATAAAAGTGGAGGAGGCATCCTTGGTGGAGTCTAGGGTGAAAGCAATTTCTTAAGGCTCCAAGGAACATGGCTCCACAACAGAAATACAAAAGGTAGCACTTGGCGTGGTGTCTCTTCAACTGAGTATAAAATTGGGGAAAGCACAGAACTAGAGCTATTTTTATCCCTCACTGTCCTCACAAGGAGCTTTTGAATGAGATAGGGTTGAAGGTAAGGAGAGTGATGGGTTTTTTGTTTTGTTTTGTTTTTAAATATGCAGGTTCTGATTCACTAGATCTGGGTGAGACCTGAAATTCTACATTTCTTTCAGACATATTGTCAGGAGGGACCAGTCGCTAAAGAAGGATATCATGTTTGGTAAGGTGGAGGGTCAGAGAAAAAGAGGAAGACCCCCAACTAGATGGATTGGCCAGGTGGTAGCATCGATGGGCTTAAGCGAGGCAACAGTAGTGAGGTTGGCCCAGGATCGGGCAGTGTTTCGTTCTGCTGTGCATAAGGTCACTATGGGTCGGTACCAACTCGATGGCTCACAACAACAACAACAGTACACGTCTTAGTGGTATTGCTGCTGTTGTTCTGTAGACCACACTTTGAATGGACAAGGCTCCTGTCATCCCTTTAAATGGAGCTTTCTTGAGACCCTCTGGTGGTTTACAGATGAAAGGGAGATGTAAACACCACAAAAGAAATGTAGAGAGGAAAGTACGTCTAGATAGCAGTTGAGTGTTGATAGTTACCTGCCCCCTTACTGGTCTTCTGAGATTCCCTCCCTTCTCCCAACAACCATCTAATTGGTTCGGACTCATAACGACCTTATAGGCCAGAACAGAACAGTTCCATAGGGCTTCCTGGTATGGGGCTGTAGGATTAGCACTCAGTCATAAGGTCGGTTTGAACCATAAGGTTAATGATTCAAACTCACCAGCCACTCCTCAGAAGCCCTATACAAAGTCACTATTTGTTGAAACCAGCTTGATGGCATTTAACAACATCATTTATGGAAGCAGACTGCCATATCTTTCTCCCACAAGGCAACAGCTAGTTAAGCTTTTACTTCCTAACCAAAGATGGGTGATTTGAAGCCACCAGCCACATTGGAGAAGAAGGATATGGTAGCCTTGGAAACCCTCTGGGGCAGTTCTAGTCTGTCCTTTCAGGTTGCTGTGAGTTGGAATTGAGTTTTGTTTTTTGTTTTTTTATCATGTGTTTAAGGGGAAAACTAAACAAATTCAAATATATTTTATTGAGACTCTCTTTATTAAGTCTTAAGTCTTTAGCAGGACTTAATATGGAGACCAAGGAGCTCTGGTAGCGTAGTGGTTACGAATCGGGCTGTGAACCTTAAGGTCAGC